GTGTCACAGCTGCCGCTGAGAACAGCTGCGGCGGTCATAATTTTTAAAAGATCCTCTAACTAGAGCTGGGGAGCCAGAATGACCTCTTGCGTGTCCATCATACCAACCATCACACGGGAGAGGTGGATTTTGCCCCTATGATTCCAAGGCCACCACCCTGGGGCTCAGGGAGGCAGGAGAACGTTTCACCCACCCCGCCCCTGCGGGCGTCGCAGCTGCCACCAAGAACAGTGGAGGCGGCCATAAGTTTTTAAAGAGCCCCTAAGGAGAGCTGGGGGAGCCAGAATGACCTCTTGCGTTGCCACTCAGAAATCAAACACGGTGGAATTTGCCCCTACGAGTCCAAGGCCACCACCCTGGGGCTCAAGGGAGCAGAACGTTTTGCCCCACCTTGCCCCCCACGGGCGTCGCAGCGGCTGCCGAGAACAGCGGCGCAGCTATAACTTTTTAAAGATCCCCTAACGAGAGAACAGCGGCGGTGGCCATAACTTTTTAAAGAGCCCCTATCGAGACCTGGGGGAGCCAGAATGACCTCTTGCGTGTGATGAATATTATTGCTTTAGGCTTGCGTGACAGGTAACTAAAAAGTAATGTTCATGAGAACACAGATTTAACTTTCTCATTTCAATGCACTAAACCACAAGTAGGTAGTTGTGGGTTTGTAATCTGAACTGAAAAGAAAATTAGTAAATCTCCAGTAGATTTACCTCACAAAGAAGCTGCCAAGCTTCTTCAGAAAACTTAGTAGTGCCTTGAGAGGTAGAGAGGATGAACTAATACTTTTCAGGAAATAAAAGCTCAATTGAATTCAGTGGATTTATTTCCAAGCAAATATGCTTGTTAATGGATCCTAAAGGAAATACACAGAAGTCCAATTGAAGTGTTGTCATTCATAGTCCTTTTGTCTTGTTTGTTCAGTACTTTCTCTGTCTCACAATCATAACTGTTCCCCTGAAGCCACTTCCCTCTGTACATTTTGCCTTTACAGCTCTTTTCCAGGTAAAATCTGAACACTTCCTTTCTGGTTTACTTATATAGAGAACCAGTGTGGTGCAGTGGTTGCAGAACTACAGTAGGGATTTGGGAGTCCTGGGTTCAAATCTCCTCTTAAGAGCCATGAAACTTATTGAGTGACCTTGAGCGTGTGGCTACTTTTTTATCAGCCTAACCTACCTCACAATATTGTTGTGAGGCTAAAATGGAGAGAGCGAGAACGATATACATCACCCGGGCACCCTTGGAAGAAAGGCGTAATAAAAATGCACTAAACAATAATAGTAGTAAGATAAACAAGAGTGACAGGAAGCTCGTACATAAGTAAGCTTCACTGGGTATAACAGGGCTTACTTCGAAATAAGTATGTACAATGCAGTCACACTAATTCTTATTCGGTAAACCGATCTAGGAGGAGGCGACGTTTTTTAGCAAGGTATCATTTTACTCTTATTTATCTGCTATTAAGGAAAGCCTACGACGATCGGATACAACTGCGCCTGCGCACAAGACCCAAGTTCCCCTCTCGCTCTTCCCATCCTGCCAGGGAGGCATGGTTTCGGGACTTCCCTGTTTGCCATTCGCTGACTGTCAGCCTTCGTTCGTCTATGACTTATTTGGATTGGTCACTGGCTCATGATTGCTGTCCGTGATTGGTGCAACATCACCGAGAGAAGGCTGGACTGGAGAGCGGAGCTGGCCGGTGTTTGCGACAAACTGCCGAGGCAGAGGCGGTGGCTTCCGGGTTTGTAGTAAAGCCGCAAAGAGGGGGTTGCATGTAAATACTGGACAATGGGGTAAGTGGCGAAAAAGAGCTTGAGCCGGCAGGTGGGACGTGCGGCTCTGGCTGTAGACTGGCCGTTCGTCAAGCTGCTGGGGGGGGGTGGGGGGGGGGGGGGGGGGGGGGCTCTGGGAAGAGGCGTGCTGAGGGCTCCCAGGCCTGCTCGGTCCCTGCTAGGCTGGGATCTGCTTGGAGTAACGGTGAAGGCACCGCAGAAACGGGGCGCTGTCAGGCTTCCTGAGGAAAATGGGTGCTGCTCCTGAGAGGCGTCTTTTTTCCTTCGTGCCCTCGCCCCAAGAGCGAAGGCTCAAGAAACCCCTCACCGGATTCTGGTGGTTAAACACCAGAACAAAGGGGGTGGTCCCGCAATCGTTACCCCTTTTTTGGGGTCTCTGCCTACCTATTCCTGGATGAGCACCCATCACTTAATTCGGATTTAGTTCAACTTTAGTTTAAGGAACCTTTTTTGCGTTCTTGGTGGATTCTCCCCGCCCCTTTCCTCCCGCATCTTCCTGAACATCCCTGTTGCATTTTTTGTGCCGCCTTTAATCCTCGTTCTGTATTCACAATCATGCTCCCCCCCCCCCCCCTAATTAAATCCTTTTTCTTGGCATTAATTTATTTAGAGTAACTGCAGCCCTCGATTTTCTTGATTGTCATCAATAATGCAGCTTTGGAATCACTGCTTTCCTGGAATGCGTGTGTTGAAAAGCTGGCAAGACTTTGTCCTTCTAGCATTATTTAAGCACCACACTTGTGGATACAACAGAATAGTTAATATTAGTATTAAGGAGCAAGTGATCTGAGCAAAGTGTTCCTGAATATACATTCTAGTATGACATAAGATAGTGTTCCAGAACAGAGTGGATGAGCATAGTTGCTTCTCTATGGTCTGAAGTTCACTTACAGTGAATAGATTAGTTAGTGAGTAGATGAAAGTGAAAGTGTTTGAATGAGAACTTTGACGCCCGCAGATGCAGGCCTGCTGATTTAGCTGTTTTTCACCTCCCGCTTAAGTGCAGCTTCTTCCTTATCTGCTCTGACCTGGTTGGCCCAGGCTAGCCTGATCTCAGAAGCTAAGGAGGTTCAGCCTTGGTTAGTATTTGAATGGGAGCACACCAAGGAATTCTAGGGTTGCTACAAAGAGTCTGGCAATGGCAAGCCGCCTCTGATAGTCTCCTGCCTTGAAAACTCTACAGGGTCACCATAAGTTGGCTGTAACTTGATGGCACTTTCCACCACCAGTTCCTTTTCTATTTGGCTTGGATATTTAAGATCCAAGATTTTAATCTGTTTTATAAATTTGTATTATGTAATTTTGTATATCGTATGCACTTTGTGCCCTATGTGAGCCGTCCACGGGGAGGGCGGGGTATAAATATAATAAAATAAATAAATAAATAAGATATGGCTGTATAGTGATAATATGCTACAGCCATCGCCTGGTTATTCTTCAATGATGCAAACAGGATTTCAGTGTCAACCTACCCTCATCATAGCCCAAATCAAATTAAAAACCACAGTTGGACAACTATTACTTATAGACACAGAAGATGATTTCACTTTAACATATGAAAAATACTCTTAGTGTCTTTCAAATCTCTTTCTATCTAGGATATGCTATTTTAAATTTATATTCTTCCATTATCTCCCAGACTGAAGGGCTGGAATCCTTGCAATTAATATTTTTAACTACATATCTGTGCATTCTGAAAGAGCTCAGGGCATTTTATGACATTTTTGTCCCCCACTCATCATCACAACAACTTTGAAATGGGTTAGTAATGAGAAATGGTGATTTGTCTGGGTTCACCATTTGACTGGCTAGAATTTGAACTTGTCTCTCCTTGTGCCCCACTGTCTTAATGACTCATGGCTAGAAGATGGGACCATGGCATCTGGGTAGTGAGGATACTTTTGAGATTCTCTTGCACCTGTCAGTGGTCACATAGGCTTTGGCAGGAAATTGTGGTCCATCCTTGTACTCACTCTTAGGATCCCTGGATTGTGTCATAGTGAAACTGACACTTGCTTAAATCAGAGATGTTCAAAGCTTTTTATTAGAGGGGAATTAACCTTAAGTTTATTGCAACACTGAGCAGCTTTGGAGAAATGGGATTTTACCCATCCCGCACCTTTTTATGCAGAAAGAAGCTCTGGCTATTCAAGGATTCTGTTACAAAGTCTAGTTTATGGTGGTGTTGATTATGACATCAGGTCCATATTCAATTGTCAGTAACGTGAAAATACAGATGCATAAACACTGAGAATGAACCATGTTTGAAAGACTTTATGTAGGCAGTCATGTTGAAAGTGTGTGCAAGAGCAGATGAATCAAATCAGTTTTAGCTTTGAACACAGGGCCATTTAACTGAGTATTGTCTACTCTGACTTTGGATTGCTGGGGTCTCAGTCGGATAACGGTCTTTCCCAGAATCTTCATAAAATCCTTTAACTGGTGATGTTGGTGATGAAAGCTGAGATCTTCTGCATGCAAAACATGTTTTCTACCACTGAGGCATAGTGCTTCCCTATTTTCTTTTTACAATATTCTTTAAAAGGCAAGTTCACATGTGAAAAACAGTGTGTTAAAATTCATCCCTACTGTATTTTAGTAACTGATTCTGATGGCAATCTTTCTGTCACCTATAGCTAATTAACATTAGTTTAGTGGCACAAACCTTAAGGATGTAAAACATGATGTTTTATTTCCATGAGGGTGAATAGCACTGAATTGGAGCTAATGCATCAGTTTATGCAAAAACTGGTTATAAACACTGTGTATCCAAGGAAGTGGCCTCATGAAAGCTTATGCCACAATAAATATATTGAACTTTAAGGCACGTTTGACAAATTTTCTTTGGCTTTATGAGCCCATACTAACTTTTAGGAGCCAGACCTATTTTTCAATCTTCAGGGATTCATATTTTAATGACCACATTTTTGTAATTACTATTGCTCCTACAAAGCTGAGTCTTAGCCTTGTCACAGATTCTTGTGATACAAGCATTGTCACAAGCATAAGTAAATACGGGAGTAATGCTAGTCATTACTACAACAGAAAGCTTACTTCTAACCCATCCTCTCTCCAATTTCTCATAATTTCATTATTGCTTTTAAAAGTGTCATTTAATTGAATATTGGAGCCAGTATAGAAAGCTACTAGGAAAGTAATAAATTCATCCATCACCAGAGAATTATATAAAATTAACATATAAAGAAGTAATGACAAGAACTTCATGCATTTTTATGTCATACAACAAAACATATCTTGATGCAAAGTGATAAATAAGCTTTGCACTTTGTACAAGCTGAGGATTGCCAAGAGACACTACAATAAAATATTGATGAATACTGTAGGTGCCACAATGAAATTCCTGGACACCATGGTGATTTGGCACTTGAAATTTTTCAATCCCTGCTCTAAGGCATTCAGGATTTTTTGCAGTATTTGCTGCAACTGACAAATTTGACTATTTCTGGAAGTTACTTTGTGCACCTTTTTTACCAGCATAAGGACATATGCAGAAGTCTAGGAATAGAATTGTTTTGTATGTATCACACACTTCTCTGGGCAAGGGATTAACATTTGATTTCATAAATATTACAGGGTTGAAACAGCTGACGCCACATTGTTCATACTGAATAAATACTCCTACTGAGAATAGCTACTCTTGTCATATTCTGCTGCTGATATTAACATTCAAACTTTTCTGTTCAAAGGAATCAGTGGCAAATTCCTGTGTTTTTTGTTGTCGAGCACAGTAGGCCCTCACTTCTGCTAAGTGTGTTGTATAATAGATTTTTCTTTGCTGCTGTTAAACTTTTTAAAAAACTAACAGCTACTAGGAAAATGTAGCAAATTTCCATGGAGGTATGAATTCTCCACAGATTGTACCCAGAGGATACCTTTGTAAGCCTGAGGTAAAATCCACAGTATGGCTGCAATCATATGCATACGTATGTATAAATGAATGTTATTGAGAATTTTTTTTTAGATGATCTTTCATGTGTCCTTGAATTGGGGCTGTTCTGCAGATGCATGTATATGCAGTGCTTTGTAGTGAATCTCAGTTCTGGAGGTCAGTGAGACAACTGTCTTTTGGGGGTAACTCCTTACTTTCTTGGAGCCCTGCTTCATGTGTTTCTCGCTTTTGATCTGCCTATTTCTTGCTTGTGTGATTGAACACCTACCTTTTTGGTCTGCTTGGGGAGATTCTAACAGTTTTTTTCTGATCAAGGCACGGTGAGAGAAGCCATGCTTAAAAAATTGTTCTTTTGAAGGAAATATTAACTGACAACACTGTAGAAGATGCCAGGAAGTCTCTTGTCCAAAGGAGACACCAGACCATTGTTTTGGGGAAGCATATTGGAAAAGATGTCAGATAAAAGTGACAAACAATGAAGTTTTAGAACCAATTGACCAATTAAAGTATCAAAACACTAGAGCAGGATGACATTTCTCAAAAAGCTTTTTAAATATTCAGTTGTGGTGGTGGTGTTCATGTAACTAAAATATGAAATTTGCTGCTAAAAATCATTCTTCCTGGAGGATTTGATGGTAGCAGATGTCGTGCTGGTTTTAAAAAGGGCCAGAAAATGTGTGGTTTTTGCATTCTTTTCAGTCTAACTTTTGTTCCAGCTAAGTTGTTGGGAAGCATCATGAAGGGAAAGCTAGAATTTGGGACACATCTAGCTTACTAGCAGAGCAGATAGTTTGTATGGATTTTGTAAGATCCCTGACACATTTTCTGTTTGGACTTCTGCTGTTGGAGACTTGTTCCTGATTGGAATAGATAGCACTAGGCTAGATGCAGCCTGATCCTCTGGATCTTTATTCTGTGTGTAATATACTTATAATTGTTGCAATGAAGAGCAAGTCTTACTGATGAAGAATCAGCTTGGCTTCTAGAAAATCTTGTACATCTTTTAGATTTAAGAGTATTAACAAGCATGTGGGTAGATTTGATCTGGTAGGCACTATCTACCTGAACTCTTGAATAGCTTTGGCAAAGG